TCGGGGGTGGCGGTTTTAGTTCGGGACGGATTGGACTTGGGGGTCCAGCCGCTCTCTTTTCCTCCAGGGACGGACCTCTCCAGACTTGCTGGAGTGGTCATCGAAGCGCCAGGGGTCCCAACGTTCGGTTTGGTGAGCGCGTATTTTCAGGCCTCTGCGGGCCTCAATGAGACCAATCTGAACCTGCTGGCCACTCTTGGCCAGACGCAAGATCTTGTAGGCAAGCCCCTCCTGGTTGCTGGCGATTTCAACTTGCAGCCCGAGAGGCTTCAGAAGGGCGCGGATTTCCTCACCCGTGCCACGATGGCGGTGGCGGCGCCGAAAGCGGCCACCTATTATACTAAGAAGACGAAGTCGACCCTAGACTTCTTTATCCACAGCCAGGCCCTAGGTCCCTGGCTGCGCCCCCCTCACACCTTGTCCTCCTATCCTCTTTCTCCCCACCGTCCTGTGCTCATGTCACTGCAAGTGCAGGACAATTTCCAGATCCCGACGCTCCTCAGGCCACAGAAGCTCCCCACTAGGGTGCCCATCGGTCCTCAGCTCCCGTCGGTAAGTTGGCATCAGACTGCTGCTACGATAGATTATGCTGTCCAATTGCTCGGAGATGCTTCGCAGCCGCTCTCCGACCAGCAGCGCTCCACCATCCTGGACCACGTGTATTTCACCCTCGTCCAGGACCTCGAACACACACTAAGTGTGAAAACAGACACCCCCCTCAAGCCCAGTAGAACCCCTAGGGCCCACCCCCCCCCCCCCCCCAGATCCACATGGTCTCGGCGAGTGCCAAGTGCACCCAGGGGCGTAAGTGCTGGACGGCCTATTCCAGGCCCCTTCGGTGGCTCCAAAATCGGCTGCAGGACTTTCGTCGCAGCATCCAGGATAATGACCTCCAGGAATTTCGGGACACTCTGGACAGTCTAGAAGACAGCCCAGAGCTTTTCAGTACCTCTTCTGCCCTTGCCCAAGGGCTGCAGGAAGTTCGTATCGCCACAGGACTCTTGCATGAGGATTTCCAAGTGCAGAAGCTCAACGCAGAGTTGGGCATAACAATTCTAGACGAGCTGCTCGAGCAAGTCGGCAAGATCATAGATTCTGAACTTGCCGCCGAGCACAGGAAGGACGGCCAGGAATGGAGGGATTGGGTTCAATCGTCTATGAAGGGAGGAGTGGGATGGGCTCACAGGTGGACGAAGAAGTTGGAAGCTTGGAGGCCTGTCTCAGTTGTTCACTGCCAGCGTTTCTCAGGACGTCCGCAGCACCTCCTCCAGGTTGAGGCCGACAGACTTGCTAAGATCTGGGATGTGCACCCCGAAGAGCCCCCCCAGTGGGTCCCCCCGACGGACGACAGAGTTGCCCTGGGACCTATCAACCCCGTGCGCCTCCGCAAGGTTTCTCGCAGTTTTCCTCACAGTACGGCCTCAACGTGGGACGGAGTGCACCCGCGTCACTTCGCCATGTTAGACGACGAGCAAGTCGGGCTCGTCTGCCAGCTGATTGAGCTTATAGAGCAGGTAGGGCACATGCCATCGCAGCTTCGGGGAGCTATATCTACACTCATGCTCAAAGTGAAACAGCAAGATGATATACATGCTCAGCCAGCCTTTCGCTCCATTGGCATGCTCCCTGCTCTGTATCGAGTGTGGGCCCGTCTTAGGAGGTCTGCTGCCCGCGAGTGGGAATATCACCACAGGCGGCCATACATTGCTCATCAAGCTGGACACTCTATTGTCGAGTTGGTCTACGCTCAGTCTCTTGAATGTGAATTTCATGCGTGCAGTGAGGATCCCCAACACTCTGCCCAAGTGCTCTGGGATCTGTCTAACTATTATGAACATGTGGATCGTGAGTGCCTTGCCAAGAGAGCTGCTGCTTCTGGATTTCCATGTTGCTTGCTCCGTAATGTACTATCTCAGTATGGTAGCTCACGATTTGCTGATATGCAAGATGTGTGTGTTAGCGTTGGAAAAGCATGGAGGGGACCCATAGCTGGGTGCGGTTGGGCTACGTATCTGGTTCAGATGTATGTTTTAGCTCCCCTCGACCAGTGGACCAGCACTCACTGTTACATCCGTCTTGCCATGTTTATCGATGATTTGCTGCTGCAGTGTCATGGCAAGAGCTATGACCTAGTGATCAGCCAGATGAATGTGGCTGCTCGATCTTTAGCCAGTTGCATCCAGCACGAGCTTAAGTGCCAGATCGCCACTAAGAAGAGCCAGGTGCTCGCCTCCAGCCAAGACCTCCAAAACAAGCTTCGGAAGACCCTTGGGACGCTCGCGGGGCCCTCCACGGACAATTCAGGACCCAACCTCGGTATTGAAAGCGGAGCTGGAAGACCCCAGAGGAGATGGAGGAGGGGTAGGAAGCTTTTGGAGCGCATCGTCAGGATTCAGAGAAGGATGGCCCGTATCAGGATGATAAAGCACGCTGGAGGAAATGGAAAGAAATTGTATAATACTGGTCTCTTTGCGGCCACCTCGTTTGGAGTTGAGGTCACGGGCATCAACAACACGATGCTCGCGCAAGCCCAGACTCAGTATTTAGCAGCAGCAGGTCCTAGGTGTGCCTCAAGGAGTCGAACTCTCGCCCTCCTCATCCTCCAGGACCCCCTGTGGAAAGCGGGCCTCGGGCCCGCGCTTATGTGGCACCGTCTCGTCTGGGAGGCCCACACTCGGCCCGAGACGGCCGTGGTCAGCCTCCAGCAGCTCAGCCTTTGGGGAGAGGCTGTCTTGCCGAGGGTTTCTAAATCTTGGGGCTCCTGTAGGGGCCCTCTCAGTGCGGCGGCCCTGTCGTTGGCCAGGGTGGGGTGGTCTTTCCAAGGTCCCTTCCAGTTTGTGACTCCTGCAGGCCTTGTGTACCCCCTTCCAGGAACCTCCCCCGCCTACATTGCCAAGCAGCTAGAGATTGCCTGGCACGATCGATTAGCTGAACGAGCTGCAGCCAAGATGGGACATCCTGGCGAGCAGCTAGATGTTGCAGCACTGCGCGCTGTTCTTCGTGCCACCGACCTGTCCAAGCAACAGAGAGGCACGTTGCTGGCCTTTGCTACCCAGAGCATCTGGACGATGGAGCGCGCACTTGCAGCAGGGTATGATGCGCCCCAAGGATGCCTATGTGGACACCACAAAGATGATCTCAAACACCGTCTCTTGGAGTGCCCCAAGACCGCCAGTGCCCGAGAAGATTTCACTAGTGGGGAGCTTGCTAGGTTGAAAGACCCAATTCCTGGTACCTCCCCCCTGCATCTTGGGTTTCAGTTCACGCCCGATTTCGTGGGCTCCCCTCCCGCGGGCACTGGGTTGGAGGCCGCTAGGTTTTGGTGTCAAGACCCCTGTTTAAGTCCTGAGGAAGCGTTTACAGGGGATCTGTTTATAGATGGCAGCTGTACGTACCATGGTCATTACAATTTCAACGCCGCTGGGTTTGCCGTAGTGTGCATGGTTGATGGCGCCGAATTTGCCACCTTCAGTGGCAGGGTGGGGTCCCTGGGGGCCCAAACCTCTGGGGCCGCCGAACACCTAGCTGCTGTCGCGGCTGGCAGGCTCTCCCGTCAGGTTGACAATATATATTCGGACTATAAAGGGGTTTTGCAGCTGCACGGAGAGGTTGGATACCCTCGCCGTAACCAATGGTCAGGTTGCAAAGTCCTTGCGGGTGGAGGCCTGATCTCTCTCGGCGATAAGCTTAAGAAAGTTAAGGCCCACCAAAATCTGGACTCGCTGCCCCCCGATAGTGAAGAATTTCGGATAGCCAGTGGCAATGAGGCCGCTGACAGGATTGCCAAGGCCGCGGCGAACCTTGGCAGCCAACCCAGTCATGCTGAAGCAGAGCAGTATCAGAACGACACTGCTCTGCTTAAGAAATACTTACGATACGTGTCTCATGCCCTTGGAGAGTGGCCTGCGATTGCCCCTCGTCGGAACAAGGCGCTGGCCAAGCCCGTCAAGAGCCTCTCCCCTCCCTCGGGGGCTGCCTCGGCCTTGGCCTCCTGGGACCCTCCCTCGCCCCCTCCCCCTCCGCCGCCTGGGCCCCCTCGGAGGGATCGTCCTGCGAACCCGTCCCCGAGGGCCCATGTCTGGGCTCATGTGAATGGCCAGCGCCGATGCACGATCTGCCGCATCCGCGTCCGCACATTCAAAGCATTGGAGGAGCGATGCAGAGCAATGGATTGCCCTGGACACTGCCCGCAGATGTCCAGTCTAGCCTCCAACCCTAGGGGGCATAATTTGTTTTATTATGAGCACCTCGAGCAGCCTACGAGTTTCTTGGTGTGCCATAAGTGTGGTTCTTTCAAGGAGGGCAATTCGCGTGGACTTTCAGGCAATTGCAATTTGAGGCCGCCCCACAACGGGGCAAAGCTGCAGCTGCAGAGAGCACAGTCTGGCCGTCACCCGAAGAGTGCCGCCGCCAGCCCGATCGTGCTCAGCCTCCCTCCTGTCCCCCTGGCGCAGCTGCTCAGAGAAGCAGCCCAAGCCAGGCAGGAGGCCGCCACTCCGCCCTAGTGGACAGGTGGCCCGAACTCATCCCCCCTACTGCGCGCTGGTCCTCCTCCTCCTCCTCCTCCTCCTCCTCCTCCTCCTCCTCCTCCTCCTCCCCTCCTCCTCCTCCCTCCTCTCCTCCTCCTCCTCCTCCTGCTCCTCCTCCTCCTCCTCTCTCTCCTCCTCCCTTCCTCCTCCTCCTCCTCCTCCTCCTCCTCCTCCTCACTCCTCCTCCTCGATCCTCGATCCTCGATCCTCGATCCTCGATCCTCGATCCTCGATCCTCGATCCTCGATCCTCGATCCTCGAACCTCGATCCTCGATCCTCGGCCTCGCAGCTGATTGTGGCAACAACCAGCGGAGCGAAAGGCTATCCAGACGTTCCCAACCGTGCGCCCCACGCCACCCGTTCTGAGCGGCCCTGGCCAGGCCACGGGACCGCCCCCACAAAAACTCGAGATGAAAACCCAGTCCTGGGGATCCACTTGGCGAAAAAAAACACGGCGTCGGATGTCGGAGTTCCCAACCCCCAACCCCCAACCCCTTCCGCCCAACCCAACGGAATATTCCCGCCGCACGGCCAGCGAGCTGCTTCGCGCGGGCGCCACTTCTGGCGCGCCCGCGCGGACACACCGACCTGACACACGTCCTGAAGATCATCGAGAAAGCGAAGCGGATGGTGCACGAGGCCAGGGCTTGTCCGCATCCACGACCTGAGGGTCCGATCCCCTAGGACACGGGGAGGCAGCGACTACGGATGTCTGTCGGACCATGGGGGCCCCAAAGACATCCACCCTGCACTGCCCCCCGCGGTCGTGGGAGATCGGCTCCCGGACTAGTGGATATGGATAAGTCCCAGCCTCGGATGGTGGGAGAGGGCCCAAAGCCCTGGACGCCGTGATCTCGTGATCTGAGAGAGCGCCATCCACCGCCGCTTTACTATGGAAAATTCCCACCCCTCTTCCTCCGGAACCCAGGGGTCCCCCCCCCCCTCCAAAAACCCCCCCTCCCCCTGCTCGAACACCACCCACCCCCCTTCCGCCGGCAAAACCCTCCCCCTTCCCTACCCACCCCCCCCCTCCCCTCCGGAAAACCGGGAGGGGTCACTACCAATCCGGACCCCCCCCCTCGGAAAACCGAGGGGGGTCAGTACCGGTTCGAACCCCCCTCCCCCCGAGAAAACCGGGGGGGGGTCACTACCGGTTCGAACCCCTCCCCCACCCCAACGCTCACCGCCAGCAAACGACTCCCGGTCCCTACCACCGTCCGCACCACAACCCCCCCTGCTGTCCCCAGCGTCACTATCCTCACCACCACTGTCCCCGCTGTTCCCACTACCACCACCGTCACCACTGTCCTCACCAGTGCCCCCACCACTGTCGCACTGTCCCCACTGTCCCCACCACTGCCACTGTCTCCACTGTTCCCGCCATTGTCCCCGCTGTCCCCACCAGTGCCCCCACCAGTGTCTCACTGTCCCCACTCTCCCCGCCATTGTCCCACCACGGTTCCACCCTCCCCACTTTCCCCACGGTCCCCACCACTGTCCCACTGTCCCCACTGTTCCCACCACTGTCCCACTGTCCCCGCCGCTGTCCCACTGTGCTGTCCCACCGTCCCCACTGTCCCCATCACTGTCCCACTGTCTCCACTGTCCCCACCACTTTCCCCACTGTACTACTGTCCCACCACTGTCCTCACCACCGCCTTCACCACTGTCCCCACCACTACCGTCCCCACCACTGTCCCACTGTCCCCACCACTGTCGGGCTGACCCCTCACCACTGTCCCCACCACCACCGTCCCCACCACTGTCCGCACCACTGTCCCACTGTACCCCCACCACTGTCCCACCACCACCGTTCCCACCACTGTCCCAACATCCCCACCATTCTCCAAGTGTCCCGAGGAGCGGGCATCGTTTGCCGGCGGCGAAGGGGGCGGGGGTCGAACCGGTAGTGACCCCCACGGCTTTCGAGGGGGGGGGGCTCGAACCGGTAATGACCCCCCCCGGTTTTCGAGGGGGGGGGGTCGAACCGGTAGTGACCCCCCCCCGGTTTCATGATGGACTGGGGGGGGGGAGAGGGGTTCGAACCGGTAGTGACCCCCCCCGGTTTTCCGGGGGGGGGGGGGGGTCGAATCGAACCTGTAGTGACCCCCCCCCGGTTTTCCGCCAGCAGCGGTAGAACACGCTCTTTCTTCGATCTCTGCAAAAAACGTGACCCCCGGAGATCTCGACCACTTCCGTGGGGGGCCGGCTCGTGACCCTTGGGAGACCTCGGCCCCTTCCGTGGGGCCGGCTTCCCATCACGAAGGATCGTCTGGCTGCTCTGGGGCCCTGCAGCGGCCCCCCAGAGGCCGACGATGACCAAGACCGTCGGGGGGAGAAGGAGGAGGAGGGGGAGGAGGAGGAGGAGGAGGGAGGAGGAGGAGGAGGGAGGAGGAGGAGGAGGAGGAGGAGGAGGAGGAGGAGGAGGAGGAGGAGGAGGGGCCTTGTGCTCACCGCGCGAGGGTGCAGGAGGGATGGGCCGAGCAGGGCCCTGGGCGGCCCCACCCGATGATCCTGCCAGCCGCTCGCAGGCCGTCTCCCGCACAGGACTCGGGGGGAGGAAAAGGACGAGGAGGAGGAGGAGGAGGACGAGGAGGTGGAGGAGGAACAGAAACGAAGCGAGAAGGGAAGGAGGGAGGATGAGGAGACAAGGAGGACCAGGAGGGGAAGGAGGAGAGGGGGGAAATCGGGGTCACGCGCGCGTGTCTGTGTGTGTGTGTCTGTGTGTGTGTGTGTGTCTGTGTGTGTCTGTGTGTGTCTGTGTGTGCGTGTGCGTGTGTGTGTGTCTGTCTGTCTGATTGTGTATGTGTGTGGTGTGTGTGTGTGGTGTGTGTGTGTGTGCGTGTGCGTGTGCGTGTGCGTGTGCGTGTGCGTGTGCGTGTGCGTGTGCGTGTGCGTGTGCGTGTGCGTGTG